CATTGTGAATCAATAAATAATCAAGATTTTCCACATAGATTATTCTCTGTTCAATCATTTCCGAGATTAGTTTTTACCAACAGATGGCGCTCTTTGCTTTATTAAAAGCTGTTCTATTTTTTTTTTTACAAGAAATGTGCCGATGCAATATCGATTCCAAGATTTTCCAAATGTATTACAATTCTCTCTTTAATCAATTCTGAGAATAGTTTTTACCAACAGATGGCGCTGTTTAGTTTATAAACAGCCGTACTATTTTTAGTAGTTCTCTGGCGATAAATCACTGCATTGCAAAATGATTCTGTAACGATTCTGAGATTTTCCCAAATGCATTGTGATTCTCTCTCGAATAGATTCTGAGATTAGTTTTACCAACAGATGGCGCTGTTTGCTTTATAAACAACTGTACTGCTCTTTACTAGCGCTGTGGCAATAAATCTATTTTAATGTATTACGATTCTCTCTTGAATCGATTCTGAGATTGGGTTTAAACAACAGATGGCGCGGTTTACTATATAAACAGCAATACTTTTTTAGTAGTTCTCTGCTGATAAATCATTGCATTGCATAACGATTTTCTGAGATTTTCCCAAATGCATTGTGTATCTCTCTTGAATCGATTCAGAGATGTTTGTTTATAAACTACAGTACTATTCTTTACCAGGGCTGTGGCGATAAATTGATTTAATTGTGAATTGATATATGATCGAGAATTTCCAAATGTATAATTCTCTTTTGAAATTTTTAAAAAATAGTTTTCACCAACAGATGGCGCTGTATGCTTTATTAACAGCTGTACTATTTTTGATTAGGGCACTGGCGATAAATTGATGCAAATGGTGCAAATAGATTCTGTATTAGTTTTTACCAACAGATGGCGCTCTTTGCTTTAATAAAAGCTGTACTATTTTTTTACTGGAGCGGTGATAATAAAGCGATACTGTATATATTCCAAGATCTTGAATCGATTCTGAAATTAGTTTTTACCAACAGATGGCGCTGTTTGCTATTTACATTTTGCTCGTAGTTTTTCTACATGTCCTAAAACATCACATTTGCAATATTCGTATCAGATAGGCTACAAAAATGTAATGATATTATATTCTAGTCGATATTTTATAATTTTGTGATGGAAAAAAGGATTGCTTTAAAGCTTAATTGAAGAACTACAATTCAAAAAGGCATGGTTTTATGATATAAAGATGAGAGCAGCATGTCGTAAATGTTAACCGTTGTATTGTTATTTGTATTTATTTACAAAATACTAATATTAAATGTAATCTTAAACTGACAACTGTAGGGAAATCCTAAAACCGCCCCTGATTTTCCCCCTCACAAAAACACTGATGAAGGGACACCGGGGCCGCAAAACCCCCCATGATACCATTCAGACGTCCATCCGTTGACACCCAATGAAGCAAACCCAAAACTGGCGGGAATCCCATGTTTTTTTTTTTAGCTTGATGAGGGCAAAGCCTCCTGCTTAATCCAAAGCGGAGCAAAGATGTTGCTGGTTTATTTCCCTTGTTGATCAGATGTAAGTGATCCAGATGTGTTTGAGTTCTGCAAAGGCTACGAAGGCAGAGATGCTCATCTGGATCCGGGTTAAAAGGAGCAAAAAAAAAAACATTCAACTCCACTACGCTGATCATCCTTAGCTAGAAAAACTAGTATAATCCAAACGAAGCTTATCGTAACTGGTATATACACGTGTCTGCAATCCAGTCCGTCATCCACAAGACAGCATTAATCCAAATGTTCCTGCTCTTGAAGAACCTTCCAGCCTTTCTAGAAGTCTTGATAAATCCGACATCGTCCATCCCGGACGAGCCCCCGTTTTTTTCACCCGCAGTAATGTTAAAGCTTCAACAATCCTTTGAACGGACTGTTTCGTGTGTGTCAGGTTGGCTGTTTTGAGGCAGCGGTTGTAGCAAAAACAAAACTAAAGCACCAGTTTCAGATCAGAATGCAGAAGAAAAACTAAATAAACAGCTAACGCAGCTCAGCAGCAGTCTGGTTGAGATGTCTCATTGATTCGCAGAAATGAAAAATAATATAAGTCCAGTTCTATATCTTAAAAATCCGTACAAAACTAAGCCATGATAATCAATATAACAATAAAATTCGATGTGGAATTCGCACCTAAAAGCATCAGGGATAGATACGGTCTTAAAAGCTTATTATGTCATTCGAGAGAGAGAGAAAGAATAATCAAAGACACAAAAACATACGAAAATATTGGATTTGCATATTTCTCCCAAGCTTCTTGTCAGCTGATTAACTTGTATTAGCCTATTCTTTTCATTAGACATATGTACAGAAAACATTATGAGTGGTATTTACAGCTCGTGACCACAAGAGGGCGGCGCAGAAACTGCTGGAATGGGGACATATTTATAGCGCAAATTGCAATTCAGAACGACAGAACGATATATGAACGATTAAACAGAGAGTCTATGCAAATGTGCGCAACGATTCACATAGACGAATACTATTTTTATAATAAGTGCTTTTTTACGAAACATTTGAAAACAGACAAATCAGTTTGGGTTTCATGAATGAGGCCGAAAGATTAACAAATTTAAAATGCGAAAATGCTCACAAATTTATTTCCATTTATTAGTGGCCTCTAGATTATACAATTAATGGAGCGGTTTGGCCTATTTTGGCGAATTAAATTAGTTTTTATTTGAACTTCAAAACTGATTTGACGCACACAAAAGTTTGGCGCTACATTACTCAGTCTCTCGCACAACCTAAAATCAAACATTGATCATTAAACGGATATTGAACGCATTGATTTGATCTGATATCAGAGTAAAGTAAGGCCTCATGGTCGGCTGGATCGCTGTAGATCCAGATAGCATGAGGTTAGAGCAGCCGGATAGCCTTGTTATGATTGATTAAATAACGGCGAGCAGCATGACCTCTGGGTTTCTGCGTTTGGCTCTCTTGTGGTCATCTAAGTTCCTATCTATACAGACATCAGACCAACTTCAGGCCTTCCTCTCTCATCATCGAGTGTGTGTGTGTGTTCCCAGTAACACATTGGTGTAATTGCAGTTACAAATGCAACAAAACGGCTGATTGACTCCCACTGAGTTTGTTGCAATGCATTATGGGATTGTATCCTCTGAGAATATGAATGAGTTATTTGTGCAACCAATGTCATCTTGAAAGTTGCCTACCTAGGGCACTCGCTGGGTTTTGGAAGAGAGCCAAAGTGAATTTGAATATAGTGTACAACACAAACGCACACACACACTCATCTATGCACATAATCCAGAAGAGCCTGCTAATCCTATTACAACAGAGGATCGCCTGGCCAAACGATTTCACTTAATACAAACCATCCATATCTCTCTTAAATATAAATATTAGTGTAGATATATTTATGCATCGCTCTATTCATACATAATTAATACATTCCGTTCGGAGCTCCCTGTAGCTTAAATGCGGGAGTCTGACACATTATCCAGACCTATGCACCACACACACACACACTTGTATATATGGTTTAAGAGGACTTTCATAATAGAATATAACTAGGTCATACTCATACTGTTTAGTGTCCTCGTAAACCACACAAACACACACACACACACACACACACACACACACACACACACACACACACTGGGTTTTCATGTTCTACAAGCTCCCCCATGACGTGATGATGTTTCTACTGTACAGATAGTATATTTAGTCCGCTAAAACGAACCCCAGAACACAATCTGCAGTTGACATTTTCTAAATACCTGATTCTTGATGATTAATGAGCCGTTTCCCCTCATGGGGACCAAAAGTAAATGTCCCCACAAGGTCAAAAATGACTGGTGTTACTATCCTTAAGGGGACATTTGGTCCCCACACTGTGATGAATACCAGGATGACTCACACACACGCACTCATAAATGGTTTATGAGGACTGTCCACTAAACCCATTGTTTTTTTCATGGGGAAAAAAGTCTACTACTATACTTATGGGGACATGATTCGGTGACGAACCAGAGTTTACACAAGCGTGTTTCTACAATGCAGACTGTATGTTCTGTCCCCTAAACTCACCGTTTTTTATGGGGACCAAAAATTTAACTTAAAAATTTTAAAACTGGTGTTACTATATTTGTGGGGAC